CTTCAGGTTCAGAACCTGCAAAGACTGGAAGTGGCAGCGTTTGGTTTCAGATCTGTGTGCCCCCCTCTTCTACCAAGAGATGTACAGAACCTTCCCACAAGAGGCTCCCCAACAAGTTGTCCCTTTCCCAGTGAGAGTGCTTACTCACTTCCATCACTCTTGAGTGCACCTTCTCACAAACAGCTCAGTGTGAGAAAGGCACGAGGGTAAATTGGGATTTGTGTCAGGATTGGAAACAGTGGCTGAGTGGGCCTTGAAACATCTCTTCCACTAATACTAGGAGCTGACACTGGCCACGTCTAGACACAGCTTAAACATACAAATGTACTGGAAATAAGCAAGGAATTGCTGGTACAATCTTGTCCTGTGCATAGCAGAAAATTGGAGAGCCATATGCAAGAAATTGTTTAGGGAGTCTAGCGATTAGATGACTGCAGGAAGAATCTTATAGTACAATTCTTCAGTCATGTTACAGAGGTTTTGGGGACTGGTATCTCTGGCCCTTCAGCAGCCCACCCGGGGCAATAAATGCTCTATTCCCCAGTCCTAGCCCAGGGTGGTACACTGCACCAGAGGCTTGGCATTCTGTGGGAGCGAGTGGAAGGATGGGGAAAGAAAGGGCTGCATGCAAATTTCATTTCTGAACCATTGGCGCTGTTTCAAGTGCCAGGAGCCTTGGAGCCCCTTCTCGGCATTACATATGTAACAGCCTCATTGAACTTGACATGTCAAATTCAGGCCATTTGTGCAAAATCTCCCTTTAATAATACCGTTTCATTTCACTCAAATGAGACTTGAATGCATGTAAAATGGAAAAGGATATTTAAGCGCTAACATTAGGCAGATGTCTTGCCAGAGGCCGATTGAATATATGAGATTTTGAAGTGGTTAACACGATTTCGCTGCTCCCTCTTAGAATATGTCACCTGCTGGGTGTCCCGCCCCCCCGCCTTTTCTCCTTTTTAAGTGAAGGATATAAATTGAAAGAAAACAAAACTACAAGCTTCAGCTTGGAGGGGATTAACTCTGTCCACGCTGGCATGTCCTTTTGAAAAACAAACAAGCTTCTATCTTACCTTTACAGGGCAGTTTAAACTATCTCTGCACACTGGATATGGATATAAAAGCAGCATTTTGTAGTAAGATGGGTGCTGGGTAAGTAAGAGTATTGAAAACAGCCTTGAAGTTTATTCATCTCCCTGCACTGGCAAGATTCCTTCAGTCTAAACCATCCCTGGTGGATGTTCATTCAACTCAGGCACAAAAATGACTAATCACACATTCACCAAATAAAGAAAATACAAAGCCATTGCGGTGGCTAATTACCTCTGACCAATTACACAGCTGGATTTTGCCTCAGCCCTGGTTTTTAAAAATTAGCTGATATACTAATAGTGTGGCCTTCACCCACCTGGTAAGCTCCAGAAGTGGCAGTCAATAACTCTACAGCTTCCATCATCCCCAGGCAAGCCATTGGCTGGAGACAATGAAATTATTGCTCAACGCATCTGGAGATCACCAGACTGGAGAAGGTTATACAAGAGGATTCTTGTATTAGGATACTACATTGGAACTACAAATTCAGCCAATTAACTAAAGCAAAACTACAGTAAGTTCTCAAAGTAGCACACAGAAACATCCAAGGAGGAACTTTTATCACCCAAACATCATATTACAGTCCTAAATGAGTCATGGCTGAATGTATTTTTTCATTCTGCTTTAATACAGACATCAGTTATTCTATGATACGTAAGAATATACTTCTGCACACGAGCAAGGATTGCATCAGAAGTTGACAGAGTCTGCAATCCTAGTTCAATCAGTAACTCTTAATGGTGCTTTTATTTTAGCATGATCTAAGGCAGGGGTCTCAAACAACTTACCTGGGGGCCGCTGAAAGTAGAGTCTGGGTGAGGCTGGGCCGCATCAAGTATTCCACCACCGTGATGGTGGTGGGCCGCTCATCCTGCCGCCGGCCCAGGCGCCGCCGGCGCTTTGAAGGCTGCAGGGCCTCTCCCCCGTGCCCCGCCCATCCCGGCAATTGGCCCGCGAGTTTGAGACCCCTGATCTAAGGGCATACAGCATATCAGTCTTACCACAACTAAGCAAGTTGCAGCTTGGTTAGTGCCTAAATGGGGGAACACCCAAGACCCTTTGACCCCCGTGATGGAAGAAAGGCATGATATACACATATCAAACAAATAAATGATGTGAACTGTTGAAGGGAAGCAGCAATCCCTGGCAAGCGGCATACACACCACTGTGAAATACACCAATCAGTTAATGGCAGCAATGAGGAGGTATTGCTGTAACAACCTCCAGTGCCTTATTGATGCAGATGAAGGTTACGTCAGGATGATAACCCTGGAATAATTACTCCTAAATCTTCACTATGTAAACAAGCCTTTGGAAGCCACAAACCATGGAACAATTGGTACTTTTCATGGAACACTGGAGTTAAATGCTTCTAAGCAATGTTCAAATCACATTACAGAGCACACAGGGTTCACTGTCCTACTTAGAAGGCAAAAAGTAAAGGTGTTGTCATGACTAGGACATACTCCTTTTCTCATTGCCAACCAGTGGAGAGTTCTTTTACCCTCATGCAAATTTAATACTCAGTACAGCAATCTGCGATTGGGTGCATCTTCTTTTTTCGAAGACTATTCTTCCCCTTGGCAAGCAAAGTTCTCAGTCTTCCCAGGATGATTTTCCTATATTGCACTGATCAGTAACAGCTGCTGGGCCATTTTGGTAATGACTAGAATTTGGCAGGGAGTTATGCTGGGCTCCTGTATGATAACCCTATCACTTTGCCTACATTTTATTTTCAAGATGATTGGCTTATTTGAGGATGCTTATTAGTTTTTCTTTCTCATAATGGATGGCTTTTGGTGCCAATGTTCTTTCCATGTACAGGGTCAGAAGCCAAAAGGATGGTGCTACCATCTTGGTTACAAAAGCATTTCCTCCCACCCCCATCCCCTGTCTCACATGCCCACTGGGATTTGTGTTAAAGAAGGCCAAATTCTTGTAAGAGATCATGCTTATCTACCACAGTCTATGGAAGGAAGCCCTGAATCTCAGTTCCCATGAGGCACAAAAGCAGTATGACATTTAAGGTGGTTTGTTCCCATTGCCATGCAGAGGTAGGACTTGTGCTAGCAAGCTGCTGATTAGCCCCAGGGGCCTGATCTGTAGAAGAGGCTGAGCATTATCTATTGCAGCATGGTAGGAGTCATTAGTTAATAATTAATAAAGACTCTGCTATTGCTCTTCCCCACTCATGCAACCAGCGTGGGCAAGGGCTAGAGTGAGCTGTCTCCCCCTTTAACTGCGGCGGTTATTTAAAGGAATAATGCCATTCTTTTTCATTTGTCAGCTGGCCCACAATGGCCCTTGTCAGCCTTTATGATTTAGTGTTTCCTTTCCTTTCCCATTAAACACCACCTTCCCCCTGCTCACTATCCGCCTCACACCAGCCACAGGCTGCTTTTGCCAGCTCCACTCCAAGACTAGCCTTGCTCTTTCCACAGGCTCCTCTGAGTGCTAATTGCTTCTGTTCATTTAAACCTGTTCGTTAATTTGCTGTGGCCCTTTATTAAGTTGGATGCAGCCCAAATTACACCATAAATTATGTGCACAAGCGAACGGGGTGTCGTATGGGATAAATGGCTTGGCTGTTGCCTCCCCCCCCCCCCCCCCCCTTTCCCCACATCTGAGAAGTGGCAGATTCTGGCTCTGTACTGGATTCCACATGGGTAATGGATCTGGGAGGTCTTGGTCCAGCTCAGATTCAGTAGGCCTCTGTATCCTCTGTAAATGTGCTCCTTATACCTGTGTCTAATAATTGCCCCTTGTTACATTGAGAAAAGACCCCAGGCTAAGCTGGGCTCTCTTTCCAGACCTTGGGGGTGGTCCATTTAGGTGCTGGGTAGTCGAAATTCTGGTTGTTCTGTGCTTCCTGCTGTTACCAGTCACCTGATGACATCACCTTACTGCCAACGGCAGCCTGATCTCTTTCTTCACCTTTTAATGACCGGGGAATTCATTAATAATTGAAATAAACACACTCTCTCCCAGGCTGCAGTTTTATTAAAGGAAGGCCAGGGATCTGCCAACCCTTGGCTGCAGCGATTTCCTAAATAACTGCTAGCAGTTAAAATGCAATTAATTTAGGAGGAGGAGGAGGACAAGAAGAAGGAGAAGAAGAAGAGGACTTTTGCTGTGCTAGTGAAAGCAGCAGGCAACTGAGAGGCAGCCTCAGGGGAAGTGGCAGCCTCTGGGAAGTGGACTGGTGAACTCTACCATTCAGTCCATCTGCTTAACCTCTTCTATGCTGCACTAGTGTAGTGAGATAACTAAGACAGTAACTCCTGTTTATATGAGCCCCAAGAGAGGAAATCCAGAGAGCCCATAATCCCCACTGCCACCCCTCTGGCAGTGCTGTTTTTCAGATTAATAATATTGCACAAATTTCATTTTAGTGTCAAGGAAAAACTAGGAAAAAAGTGTGTGTGTGTATGTGTATGTTGGGAGGAGATATTTCTACCCTTTCAGTCCACATGCATACCAGAGCCTAAGCCAGCATGGAATTTTGAGGCTAACAGCTAAACTACATACTGAAAGTCCAGTGATGTTTAATGGAAAATCAGTGAACAGGCTTACCACGTAAAGCCCATGAATAGCATCATCGGCAGAGTTGGCTCCAGAGGGAAGCATCCCACACTGGCTGATGCTTAAGGCTGACAACTTACATTCATAAGAATAGTAATGCACTGGCTATTTAATTCATTATATCATTATTAATAATAATCTCAATGCTCTTGAAAGATTTACAATCTTCCTCAGGATATATAACCAGAATTTTAAAGAGTTTCCAGGTAGTATAAGCTGCATGAACCCTGCATGAGAAAGGGGCCCAAGTTAGCTGGTTCTTGGAGCTATACACTGATACTTGTGATAGCAAGTGGGTTACTGAAGAGCCTGCCTGTCTTTACCTGATGTTCAACTGTGTTAACTTCTCCAGCTCCTGTTCCATGTGCTCTTGCAGTTCACCAGGGCGAAGTAAGACCTGACAAATAGGGCAGATTGGAGCCTGGCTGTCAAAAAGGGTTGCCTTCTTCTTGCCTGTAAGGGAACAGAGGACACAGTATTGAGTTTTTCAGTCACCCTCAGATCCAATAATTACTTGGTTCCTACAAGTCTTGGTTCCTACAAGTCCCCAGAAGCATCTGTAGCAACTTTGGTGTGGCTTGTTACAGGGCCAGGTTCCACCCACAGGTGTTTCCGAATGCTGTCCCTTGTCTGTGTTTCAGGAATGCCCACATGACCAGATGTTTTTGATTGATCAGCAGAGCTTCCTGCTTACCTAGAAGTAGCTATAACATGCTGTGGAAACAGTGAGCTTGGCCTTGCTGTACTTTGGGTCTTTTTCAAGCTTGGGTCACTTTGAGGGTAGGGAGATGCTAAGGAAACAGCTTGAAGGAAAGCTCATCACTCGCCTTGTAGGCTTCCACATCTTCTACGCCAGTACCAAGACAGGAGGAGGCAATTCATGAGAGACTTCCAGCAAACAGGATCATACTCCCCCTGCTTACCTGCCATGAGGGATGCCCCAGATCATAACATTCAAGGGCCAGCTCCCCTTACTCAAGGGCAGGCCTGATTACTCACCAGAGAGAGTCAGATGATCACAACTGCTGCCGCCTACTTATCACCATTAGAGGGAGTAGAGTGCCAGAGCTTTGTAGTGACTTAATGCCACCAGTACTAACAAACCATCAACCAGAGATAGCTACTTCAAACAAATTTTCCTAAAGGGATATTGCTTCCCCACAGGAGAACAGGCTACACATTGCAACACACACACATTTATATAGCAGAGTAGAACAGGGTGTGTCTGCATATAGTTTTCCTACATGGAAGTTATATCCATGGCAGAAATTCATTTTGCATGATGAGGACCTGAAAGTGAGAAAGTCTTACATCAGTGTATTTTACTCAGCATCAATATTCTAAACCTTCGTCCTGTAAATGCCATTGATCGCTCTGGTTGGAACAACCTCAAAAGGAACTAAACAAAGGCAGAAACACTGTGGTTTTCAAATGGACTCCTCTGTCCTATCGAACTGTAAGTAGGGATTAAGTCATAGAAGCTCACCGTAGGCTGAACTAAGGTACTTCTACACAGTCTAACAGCAGAAAAGGAAGAGTGGTATAGTTGAATCATTTCTAGAGAGCAGAAGTACACTTGCAGGTGTAAACAAACAAACTGGGGCATACACAGTTCTTGGTAAGTCTGAGGTAACAAAAAAGACTACTCACTGCCTTGAATTAAATGCCACTCTCACCTGCTATGTGTGTTCTCCAGGTAAGCAGATGCACTCTCACTCTAAAGGAATATTTAAAGAATAATTATAACAAGAACCCTTATTATAAATTATAAATGTATAAATACAAGCATTATTGCTGTTCCAAGTTATCCTGAGGATTCCCAAACAGAAATGTGAACTAATCAAAATTGCACTCGTCCTATCCTGTTTATCTCTCGAGGACAGATTAAACCTTTGAAAATCACAACAATGCTGAAAACTTCTGCACTAAAGAGGACACAATGAATAATCTCTGAAGGACTCTCCTGGCCTATCGAAGCACAACTGAATTTTGATGAAAAGCCGACTGCAGTTTACATGTGTACCCTAAGGCCTATTCCCAAGATAGTTTCCTTCCCTGCTCAAGACACTTCCTTGCATCCTGCATTAGAATAAGCATCCTACTAACAGCAACAAAAAACAGTCTTTAAAGCAAACAATTGAGCTACCATAAACCAAAGAGAGCCACACAACTACAAGCACCAGCTCCACAGCTGTGTTAGCTGCTCTGGTCGTCAGAGGGCGTTGCACACCCAGATCTGATAGCTGCTGTGAAAGAAAGAATACTTTATAGTTTGCTATTGTCATCTAATGTGGAGCGCTCCTGCTGGATTATTTATTTATGCATTAGACATGGTTCAAATTGGTTAAATCCATGCGAGAGTCAGTAATGCACCATAAACCTGACTGCGTGCAATGTGGACTTCCAATCAAAACCCAAAGGGTGCCATTTTATGGCCCCAAGTGAAAACCAGAACCCCGTTAAACAAATCGCCTTGAAAGGAATAGACCTTCCTGAAAGATAAAATGTTGGCATAAACACTTTGCCAGGGTGATATAAATGGGTGTATGGAAAGGTGCTTTGCTGGGGGAGGGCAATGACTGAATAAGTTTGGAAATAACCTTGTCTCATCCTTGTCTTCAAATTTTGCATGAGGGAATGCTTCAGAGGCGATGCCTTTCACCAACAACCTCTTTCCTCACTATATAACACACCCACTAAATGCACCATAGAATTAGAATTTCATTCCTTTATACTTATTGAGGGTATTGGATTCAGGAAATCTTATTATAGGCTTATTTCCCTCCTGTAACCCAGTGCAGTGTTTTTTCTCTTTCATAGCCGAGAAAGAACTGAGAGAGAACTCAGGACTACTACTGACTCCCTACCCAGCAGTTAATGTTTCAGCGCTAAGAGTTCTGGGTATGTAGGGAACAGAAGATCTTGTATCATGGCGGAGGGAAAAAGGCCACTCCAACTTCTCTCTTTTAATACAAGCATTGATAAATTCCCTTCCAGAGGAAAAAGAGAGAAAATCCTAACCAAACTTCCAGATGACAGGCTTCTAGTGATACCAATTAAAAGGTATTAAGAAGCTCTTCTGTCTTTTCCTCCAAAACGTATTTCTTCTGTTAAAGAGAAACACACAACATAACAAATGGAAGACATGTCATCTAGATAGATCCCTGTAAAATTCCATATCTGAGGCATGATGATTGGAGAATAAAATCCTCGCCTGGATGCACCCTCAGATTCCTACACCCTTGCACACAAACACCTCCTATCATCCTCAGCCCACGTACTATAAATATGAAGGAGGATAAGTAAGATTTCTTGCCATGCTCTCTCTTGCTCCCTCACAAAGTACTGCTACTTTTCAATAACAGACCTAAACAATCCTCCCAGTCTGACTGGGAGGGTAAGCAATCCCAGTTTCCTCTTGGAGCATTTCCACTTTTGTGTGGTCAAGGTCCAAAATAACCCCAGAAGGTCCCCCACTGCCTGCTATTTATAACTACAGCCCCATTAGTACAACAATGCTGGTGTCTGAGTCCTCTCTCCTAAAACAAACAGTCAGGCTTTGAGCAAACGGGAAATCCTGCTGGATCCCCGCTGCGGTCTGCATGCTTGGATGGGTAAACATGCAGGAGATCTCACTGTCCCCTTCCCTCACAACTGCAAGGGCATCGAAAGCTCACTTGCACTGCTTCATTTTCCATCGGCATGAGATGTGATCCTGAGCTGCCACAGCACAATTAACTCAAATGCTATTTAGCTTTAAGTGGTTACTGAGCCATCTTCTGATTGAAACATCTTCCTTATTTTCCTGTTTGCACAGTTCAACAAATACATTGTTGAGGCTTTTTAAAAAACAAAGACAACAACAGCAGCACGCATTCTAAGCCTCTAAAAAAGGTGGTAAGATTTTAATGGTTTTGCCAAATCCCAAATTCATTTCCAACTTGCTTATCATAATACAGCCAGCAGGGGGCATTATTAAAACAAACTAGTTACAACAATTAGCAAATTCTAACTGGAATTGTAGTAGCCCATAATGATGTCCATAATTTGCTGACCTGAGAGCTAAACATACTTTAAGATCACTTGATTAATGTGATACTAGGAAGAAAAGATTGCCATTAATTCATCGTCAGTATCAGGACTCATTTCAAAGGTATACTTTTAACCATTGTATTCAAAGGGTTGCCACAGTAACTTTAGTGCTGCAAGTCATCCAGATCTCCAAATGAAATCTACTTCCACACAGGTTCATCTCACACAGAAGCAGTTTTCTGCTTCTGCCCAAATCATGCCTATGTTCTGATGAAAATGAGAAGCCAAACAACCAACCCCAATGCCCAGTCTGTGCCAAATCTGAGTAAACCACGGTGCCATGAGCTCCCACGCCCCTATATTTTAGTGAGGGCTACAGCCTCCACATGGCCCCTTTCAAGCTTTGTTTTTGGCAGCTGTGTTTGTGTTTGCTTGGCCTCCCTGCCTGTCCTTCCCTTCCCTTTGGCCCCTTGTAACTCAGCAGGGTTCATCTCCAGTGTTTACTCTCCTTGGCACGGCTGTTCTCTCCCCTGCAGCCCTTGGCTTGCTAATGCTGCAGAGATGAAAAGGGCCAGCCATGTCCCTCTCCCGTGTGTGCTGACTCCCCTGGGCTCCAAAGAAATGCTTCATTCTAAGTGTTTGAAATTGCATCTTTCCTGTCCAGAAAGGGGAGGGAGGATGTCAACACAGAAACCACAAGCCCAGCTGTATGAAGCTCCTGAATGTATCGCAATCCAGGTAAAACTGGATAACATGAACACACTTGCTAGCTTCTCCTGGTAGCCTTGTGGGGAGGGAGGTTCAGCAGTTATATCAATGTGAATGCAACAGCTTCAGCATTTACTCAGCAGAAACTCGTGTGTATGTCAATGTGCCTAGAGGTGCCTCATGCGGTATGAAGACATTAGCAGTGCAGGGCCAGTGAGTCTGTAAGTGCACTATCTCCACTTTGCAGTGACTTTTGCATCCTTCCTGCTACCAGAATGGCTACCAGGTTAAGATGAATTGCATCTTGCAGTTGCCATACTTTCCCCTGCCATAAAGATGCACCTTGGTCAGAGCAAGGCTCTGTAGCAGTCCAGTTCTGACACATTTTCAAATAGCAACTCTGAGCTCAGTAAGACAATTCTAGAATAAATATTTTGAGAATTTAGGTTACAAATCCAGTATAATCTCCCTTTGCCTAAAACACATAAAAGCATTAAAGACAGGTAGATTATCATATGTCTGAATAATGCTACATGCTATGCAGCTCAAGTTATACATTTATAAAGGCATAGGGCTGCATAGGAGAGACTGCATAGTTATGGTTGGAAAACAAGAGGTTTTAGAGAACAAAAACTTATCTAAAGAGGATTAGTCTAACTATGCACACTAAGTCTTTGTCTGCACTTCCCCTTTCCACCTATGGCACTTATGCA